TCAAGATGGATTGTTAGAGGACAGTATTTGGCTAAAATATGAACTAATAGAAATATTGTGTATAAGTTTAAATACATTTATTGGTAATATATGCATATTCTACGTGCAAAGCGGATGAAGAAGTTAATGAAAAGAAGCAAACCATTTCAAACATAAACCCACATCACATTTTGCACACGCTACCCGTCCTTTAGTTTTGCATGCTTCACCAGCCCAACGAAGTTTTTTTGTCAATTTGTATGGGTCAGTGGTGTAGTCACAAAAAGATATAAGGTCCCAGTGTGGAAACCGCCGTGGCTAGGTATTTAGCATCGAGCTGTCAATTAAAGACGACACAAAGTATTTGGGAGTAGTGATGGATAGTAAGCAGCTGTGGATGCGCAATGTTGAAGAAAGAGAGAAGAAGGCCACTAACGCCCTTTATGCATATAAAAGAATGCTGGGAGTCACTTGGGGTTTGGCACCTGCTCTAATGCATTGGGGCTACACAGCAATAGTCAGCCCAATACTGCTCTATGGCGCTTTGGTGTACTGGCATGCCGCAAAAAAGTCCTTATGCCGCGGGCCAACAGAGATGGTTCAGCGCCTAGCGGCATTGTGCTTCGCGGGAGCGCTGAGATCCACTTCGACGGCTGCTCTTTAAAAAACCCTGCTACGAAATATGCACGTAGATTTACGGTCATAGGGAAATCAAATTTCAGAAACTATGGGCACCGCTTAATTGGGCCGCACAGACTTCATGGCATCTAGCTTTAAGTGGAAACGAACTTTTTGCACAATGATTGAGGAGGAGAGATGGCGCAAGGGAATGAAACCTAGCCATAGATCCCTAAACATTTTCACGGACGGCTCTAAAATGGTAACGGGAGTGGGTGCCGGAATTTACTGCTCGCAATTGAACGTCAGGCGAACAATAAGGCTACCTGACCATTGCAGAATATTTCAAGCAGAGGTTTTCGCAATGAGGATAACTGCAGAGCTAGCATTCACCAAAACGACAATCAATTCAAAATTAAACCTAATCCAGGCGGCAATTAAGGCAGTTTCCTCATATACTTAGTATTTCATCCATAAACGTCCTTTCCAGCCGGGAAGCCATTGACAAGGTAGACGCTGACAAAAGGCTACATATCTGTTGAGTGCCCGGTCACAAGGGAATCTAGGGTAATGAAATAGCAGATGAGAATGCAAAAAACGTAACCAGTCTTCCCTGGAACAGACAAACTACATTTGTACACCACTTCAACACTGGTACAATGAAACACACGATAATATGATTAGGCAGTTCAGAGTTAGATGGGAATGAGTTAACCACCTGCAAAACTGCAAAAATACATACAAACGATTTTTGTTCACACCGTCTCATACGTATCAAAATTTGGTAAAAAGAGGAACAGTTCACATTACGCCCCGTGTTGCCATATGGCAATGGACTTAAAAAACACTTAAATTAAAAATTTTTTTTGCTAGTACATAAAATCATGTGTTAATTTTTTTTTTTGTCAGTGCCATCAGATATGTACGATTCGTTCTATTTTCAAAAGTGAAGTGTCAGTTTAAAAAGCTTGAAATGTAGACATTAGAGGTTTATTAATTTTTTTTTAAAGTTGCCACCTGTTAGAAAATTAAATTAAAATTGTTTAATAAGTTAAATGAATTATTAGGAGATGGGTATTAATCGAAATATGTAGGAAAATGATTTATTTATTAACTAAATGTAGAGGGTTGCCACCAGTTAAAAAATGAAATTCCATTGGAATTGGAATGGGAGTCAGGCGAAATACGTGTAAGAAGGTTTTAGCTTGAAAATATTACGAGAAGGGTTGCCACCTGTTTGTTAAGTATAATTTAGTTAAACTAAAATAATACTTGTGTCAAACTAAAGGTTTACGATATCGTATTTGTTATTTTATTACAAATACATATATTGTCAATCAGTGATTTGTTCTGATTACATTCCTTTTAAATTACCGGACTCTTAAATTAACACAGTAATGTTTTTGCTCTTCACTAATTTCTTGCTAAATATGTCCAAATTTTTCTTTTTTCTGATACCCATATTGATATACATATTTCAGTTACTTATTCCCTTAACTAAAGTGAATTTGATTTTTTAAACATGTGGCAACCCTTCAACGTGTCGTTTAAAAGTAAAGCATTTTCAAACCATTTCAATTGATAATCATATTGTAATATCTAGTTCATTTAACTTATCAAATAATTTTAATAAAATAACAGGTGGCAACCCGTTTCCAAAAAAATAAAACTTTATTGCACATCCACTGTCAAGAAAATGCAAAACCTCGTATGAGTGGTTGCCTTAATTTTATAGGAGAGAGATAAACTTGTCTTATTTCAAGACGGTAAGTATCGATTTTTTTCGTATGAATAGATTAGTACTTCATGGCAAGAGCTTCCGGTGAGCGAATATCTTTTTTAGCACAACAGTCAGTTACGAGGTTTGCAGAACCACGATACGCGGCTGTGTACTTTAAACGAAGATATATTTTTTTTCTTTTTGAGAGCTTGACCAGTTTCATAACTTATACCACATATCTTAAGATCTAACCGCCATAAACGCGTAAGTGAATTTTTTTTTTTTTTTTACAATTTAGTTTTGATGCAAAAATGCTCCTAGAGCAGCGAGATGCATTTCTACATCAAAAATAAAATTTTGGGTTCGAGATGTTTTTCTCAAAACTCACTTCTGAACTGTACGCGGCTTTTATCTATGATTTTGAGACCTTTATAAGAATGGCGAATGGTTTTCACTTCTTCAAAATGAAAATCTAAGGAGCCTCTATTTACTCTATAACCCAACCTAATCTGGGCCCAAATTCACAGTGAGTAGTTGTTGGTTAACTGAATCTGACAAAATTCTTAGATGTACCTAAGGCTTGATATTTTTGTCTTTTTTCATTTAGAGAGGTCCATAATTTGTCACTTTTGTTTAAACATTTCACTGCAATATGAAATGTTGTTTTCCTTTTTTAATTGTTAGTTTTTTCCATTATTAAAGTACCCACGGGATTTGGACATGGCGTATTTATGAGTAACATTATTAGTTGCTCATATTTCATGTATGTACGTACATAAAATCACTCGATTTAACCAGCGATTACGTAACAGATTAGTTACAAAATTTTTTTATTCCTCCGAAAACCAAGAAAAAAGCATTTAAATGTTGATCCAACCTTCAGCACGATCATACAAAACAATTTAAAAATTATTTGATTACTTTGGAAGGAGTTTCAGTTCCTCCAAGAGACATTTTGTTCAGAGACAAACTGGCTTGGACTTTCTTCACACAGACAAAAACTATTTACTTGAAATATTTATACACCTTTCTTTTACCTTGATGATGTACATATCGCACACGATCTTCAAAAGTGAACCAACTCAAAATTACGCGTTCGTCAGAAAATGCGAAGAACTATTTCTTAGCACATGCTAATCATATGGGCAGGAGGGGCTTTACCTTAAGTTTTTTTTTTACCAATTATAACTTTTAGTTAAGTTTTTTTTTACCAATTATAACAATTATTTACTCCAGCTTTTTCTTTTTGAGTAACTAAACAATTTTTGTTTTGCCTAAAACGATGTGGGGATTAAATACATCATAGTCAAACAAAAAGTGAATTTAGAATTTGTTTTATAACAACCTCTTTTTATTAGAACCTCTTGCATTTCAAATGTTGCGTGTGCGGCGAATATTTTTTGTGATTCCTTGTTAGATGGCACGGTAAAATGAGAATTCTCTAGACGAAAATTAAGCAGATTTTTTTAGAATTCCTGCAGCGGTCCGCCTAATTTCGACCTTCAAAAATCGCGTAATAGAAAAAAATTAGCATAAAGACAGGCAAACATGTATGCTGAAGATATAAAATACAATACCGAGTGCAAAATAGACTAGTAATGGAAATTTTGCATATTTTTAGGCACACTTGCTATCTATTAAGCAATTTTCGATGGTCAAAATTGTGCGCACCGCAACGAGATTCCTAAAAACATTTGCTTACTTTTCATCTACAGAATTCTCATAACTAGACTTCGTTTTCTGCATAAAAATACGCAGTCTGCGCACAACAGAAAACAACAGCGCCCGAAAGCATGGAAATTTAATTATTTGACTTTCGGCTCGCAATTGTATCAAATTTACGATCCATCATTTACAATTTTATGTTGCATATTTTTAGACACCTCCACATACTTTCAGTTTGGAAATTTTGGAGACGATTTTAAAAACAAATATACTGGGAGTGCAAGACTAATTTAATGATGCGTGGTATACTCGTATTAAAGAAATGTATGTATGTACACATCGTGCCCTAACCGCGAAAAAGGCATAAGCCACATTTTTTTATTTTTTTTCTTTTTGATGCAGAAATGTTACTAAAGCATACAGATGCATTTGTGCAACAAAAATAAAACTTTGAAGAAAAATTTCGATTACGTCTTTTTGGCGGTTAAGGCTGGATATGTTACGGCTTTAAAATTGCAAATTGCTATACATTACGGTGGTCCATAAATGTGGGACGCATATTTTTACATACGATTTCCTAAGCCTAAACCCCTACGTCGATGTCGAAGGTATCACATATAAATTTTGGTCACGATTGGAGACGGTGAAGGCATGTCGCACAGGGAGCAAAGTTCAGATAACCCTATGAAAACGTCTTAACCGACCCGATATCGGGACCAAAATTTATATATGACATCTTCGACTTTAGTAGTTTCGATTTTGGGTATTAAAAGAAAAAATATATTTTTATTTTTTTGAGTCTCCATAGAGGCATCTGGCCTTTTACCCCTTCGCGACATGCCTTAACCGCCTCCAACCGGGACCAAAATTTATATGTGATATCTGTGACAGTAGTATTACTGATTGAGTGGGTGATACGTAAAACAATCGCTCATTTGATTTTAAAGACCACCCTTCTATACATACATAACATTTAATTAAAAATTCGCTGTTAAAAATAATTGAAATATTCGCTTACTTCGTTTTTTATTTACACTGAAGCCTTAAAAATTCTGCACCACCCACTAAAGTTCAGGAAGTAGTAGGTATGTACTTGAAAAGTTTTTGTTTACTCTCTCAAGTATTTACAATGAAATTATGAATGTGGATGTATTGCATGCAACATTTCAATAACTTCATGCAATGTGGTATTTTCAGGCGCACTACACCTTAGTTTTGTTGCTGCAAAACAGCAGTCGATGTTTTCGTTTTCATTTTCACTTAAATACCACAAATATCATCAGTTATGATTGGAATGCAAACAATCTTATAAACAGGCATTCAATCAATCAATTAATTTGGCAGTCAGCTGTGATTGCTAACAAGTTTGCCAACAAAAAATTTTCTATGCAACATTGCGGTAAAAAAAGTAAACAGCGTCAAAACTATTCGAGGCAATTAATTAAGTAGCTGCTTTTTTGCAATCACTGTTTTTTTGCACGATTCTGAACTGAACACAACAGTTTGGTGTTATGCGTTTGGTTTTTTTTTTAATACCTGTGCCTGTTTTTTGTTTAAATAATGAAAGCGATTTTGGATGTTTCAAACTTTTTTTTTTGTTTCAAACTTGACTCGCTTTAAATTTCATTTGTCTCTTTTTTCACTTTATACATTGACCACTTTCGCACTTTCGACTATACGAACGACACACTTTTCATTTGCTTTACGACTGCATTTAAAAACACCGGTTTTCTCTGCACCGATCTTATGCAACTTACATTCAATATTTTAAATCTTTCAACACTTCGATCCAAAGTCGTATAGCAATATTACATTCCAGGCTTTTACTTAGCACAATTCACTGAACACACACACACGTTTTACATCACCGACGCGTACGCGACGACCTCCAAAGAAACACCAATCACCACCAACCACCTCGACGACGTGAATGCGGCAGCAGCAAATAACTTTCGTATACTGAAATAGCCGCACGACAAATGTCGCATTTTATGCGACAAACGTAAATTTCGATGCACTTCGGCAGGGGCGCAATCGTTTTTCATATTTCTTGCATTGCTATTGCTGTTGGTATTTTTTTTTTTTTTTAGTACAAACGAAGCATAGACAGAGCGCAACTTGCGAACAATGCGCATAGCTGAACTTTTTTTGAAATCATAAAAAGAGAGGAGCTGGTGCATGCCTGGCTGAATAACGGTGGATTCGCGGAAAATTTGTTGTCCTAGTCCTGACTTTTTCTAGGTAGTTTGTATATATAGATAGTGTGTATGTGTGTGTATGTAGCTGAGTTGTGAGAAAATTCAAGCGCGCGAGAGGCAGAAAGAGAGAAAAGCAAGTAATGCGAAAATGGCAATTGATTTGAATTTCAAATAAAACGTGAGCATGCGCATCGAATTGGAGAGTAGAAATTCGGATATTAGAAAATTCTTTCACGTTCGAAGATAAAAACATAGAAAATGTTTCGCGTTTTTTGGTCCTTATTCTATGTTTGATTTTTGGTTATTAGCAAATCTATGTACATATATATGTACGGCCTTATTCATAAAAGGTAAATTAGATAAAATAGCTTTATAAAGTGAGATTTTCATTAAAATTTTCGTTTTACAAAGCGGAAATGTCTTCTTTATTTTTTATGAATTTAGGTGATGCAATATAAAAATGTAGCCGTTTTTTTATTAAAATTTCTCTCAAAAAACAGTGGATTTAAACCAAATTTTCATAAAATATTCCTTAGAACCGAGACACGATCTTTGACTATTTTAGTCCGCTAGATGGCGCATAAGTCGACGTACTATGTAAAAAATCTGAATTTATCCGTAACGTATAACACCGTGCGACAATAAATTTTACACACAAAAACCGAATATACTAGCGAAACAACGGGTCAATTGTAGTAAAACTGCGTACTTAGTTTTTCTCTCTGTTTTTAAAGGACTTTGAAATTTAAAAAATATGGGTATTTCAAAAAATTATTTAAAAAATTCGGTGGAATGAAGGATAACAATTAGGGTATAATATTAAATAAAAAAATTCTGTAGAATTATAAAATAATAAATTTTTTGGTGCATAAGGACGAATGGGTATGGTTAATGTCCTAAATATACAAATTATGTGCTTAAATATATTTGAAAATTTGCAATTTTTTTTTAAATTGTTGTTTGATGACTGATATTCGCACCACCTCATCATAAAATTTCGTCCTTATAAACCAAAAAACTTTTTTTCTTTTGAATTCTACAGAATTTTCTCTCTCACATAGCACCCATATTATTATTCTACATTGCACTGATTTTTTTAAATAATTTGTTCAATTAATCGTATCTTTAAAACGTCAAAGTTAAAAATTAAAAACGCAGTTTTACTATATTTGGCCCACAGTTTCGTGAGTATGTCGATTCTTTCGTGTTTTCTCATTTTTTTTTTTTTGTTGCACGGTGTAATGAGGGTGTGACGAGAAATATTTTTACGTACATATAAAATGGATCCGCTAAATGGCACTAGAAACGAGTTATTCAGAAAATCCGTGTTTATGGTCCAAAACTGGATTAATATATGAACTAACTTTGATAAAATTAGAAAGATACACTGCGGATGCGATGAGAAATTCTTAAAAGAAAAATAAATCCACTAGGTGGCACCAGAGTCGAGATATTCATAAAATCTGTAATTACCGTTTGATATTGGTGATATTGGTAAGATATTCCGCAGGTGTCATGAGAAATAATTTCGCGGAAAATGGATCTGCTAGATGGCGCTAGAGTCCAGTTATCCAGAAACTCCATATTATTCTCAGGGTGTCTTTCAATGACTTCTGCAAGAGCTGCTGAGACGAGTAGAATTCTGAATCCCGCACGCGGAAGCAGTAGACTGAGCTTCGTGGACGCTGGAACCTTTTAAGGCCTAAGAGAATTAGCGGGTATAAGGATAAGCAGATTGCTTAAATTTGCCAACTCCTCTTTTGGTACCACAGCAAGCTCGAGTAGGGGTCTAAGTGTACGTCAGCCACTTCAACCTAACCTAACCTAACCTAACCCAGGTTATGCTCATCCAGATCCCTGACTAACAACCCCCTTCCTCTGGTCCCACACCGACGAATCAGCAAGTTGCTTCAACCTACGGTTAGCTCTGCTTGTAATGACGATTGAGGGACTATCCTCCTCTAGATAGGTTTAAGCAGCAACAACAAAAACAACTGAATAATTATTGTAAGTCGCAGGCTTCATCAAACTATAACTTTGGCTGTAATAGTTCGCTGAAAATCTAATTTTTCTGGCATATATCACCATTTTCTTACTAAATGATATAGTAACACTTTGATCAGTTTTTTCAATAGTGAAAAAAAGTTCGTTTACTTATTATTTTTACTTTCGAATTATCCTTTTCGTAGTATTTTTAAATTTCAATTTGTTGCATTTGTACGCAAAATAATTAATTACTTTTAGTTTTCTTGTATTTATTACCGAAGTTTCTTTGAATTAAACTGAAAACATGGAAGATTCGGAATTTTGTTGCTATTATTATTACGACGGCTCATATGTTTTTTTAGCCAACTCAGTATATCTTTTTACACAGTCTGCGTCTGCATGCGAACAAGCTTTATGTAACTGCATGCATGTATGTACATTAGGGTGGTCCAAAAACAGTTAAGTCGGAATTGTAATGCTCTCAGCCCCTAGGATTGTTCTATATCGAAAAAAGTATACGCCTATTTTTTTATTTTGAAATCAAAAAATATTTAGAGGTCACTGAAAGCGCTCAAAGTTTTCCATGTAATTTTATAGAATTTCGAGAATATTTTTCGATCGAAAAACTCCGGATCTCTTCAGGAAACTTTCAATATTAATACCCAATTATTTATTTAACCATTTTTTAATACTAACGATTTTTTATTTTTCCCCCATTACATTTTTCGTGGTTTTTGTGAGTTTTTGGTGGACCTCTAAATTATAGTTGCGATGAAAAAATTGTTAAATACATAACTGGGTATTATTGTTGGAAATCTCCTGCAGATAAACAGGGTTTGCCGATAGAAAAATATTAGTTTTTAAGAAGTCTATACCATTTCTACGAAAAGTTGTTTTTTCCCCATATAAAATACATTGAAAATTTTTGGCGCTTTGAGAGAACTCCTTTTTTTATTTCAAAATAAAAAATACGGGTATATTTTTTCCGTATAGAACAATTCAACGGGGTGAGAGCATAAAAATTCTGACTTTACTTTTTTACAAGCATTTTTGGACCACCGTAATGTACATATGTAGGTGCATACACGTCGCCAGTCACGCATTCTGGCTCATGCCTCATTTCCAATTACTCATACGCCATGGAAAAAATTATGCGATAGCTATCTATTGGCCGCCTGATTGGTATGTGCATATGTATGTATGTATGTATTGACTACGTCTCGTTGTATAATGAAAGTACACGTGAGACTGATTTTTTAATGTATCTTCGAAATGCATTTACCTCATGCGATGACTTTTAATTTTATTATTTTTACGTGAAAGTTGGGTATCTATCTGTCTTCATCTGCCTGCGCTGTACCTTTTTACGCGAGGAAAGGATTCGCATAGAGCTATGGCAGATATATTCTGAATTGCTTGAAGCCGCCTGAGCGAACCAAAATAAAACCGAATATTTTTAATTATTTTTTTTTTTTTGAAAAACCAAGTAGCAAAGCTTAATAACTGTTTGGGAAGAGAACTCAAAAAGCCGTAAAAGGAAGGTAATGAAAAAACAAATTTACTGCTGGGAACGATACCCTAATGTGAAAAAAGTAAAAACTAAAGGAAAAATTTTAAATATTTAGATTATGTCGAATGAAATGGAATTAAAACTTAATAGATACTTCTTATAGAATGAAACGCCAAAAATAAAAAAATATGTCTATCGCAGAAACAAAACAGAATGGAACAAACTTAAATTCCAAACAAAATTAAAGTAGTAGATGGCAATGAGCGTAGAGAATCGGAGCTGGGCGATAAAATGGATACGAGTCCAACAAATTTAAACAGAAGCGAACGTGTATGGGTTCACCAAATATAGAATGACAACCGAAACAATAAAATAGCATTGGATCGATTTAGAATATTAGCCACGTTTTAGTAGAAGACAAAAATAAAATACTAAATGGAGCAAAAACAGGAACGAAGCAGTATGAAATAAGACCTGAACAAAGTGCAATTGAAACGAGGCAAATAACAAAATGCCGACGGAATATGGAGAGAAATTGTAGGGAAACGAAATGAAAATATAACGATATTAACTGAAAAAGGAACAAAGAAAACTGGAATAATAACATATCAGGTTATCTGTTTAAAAATAATTTTTCTTAAGTGAATTTTATTGTTGTACAACCGAGTTTTTAAATAAAATGGACTAGTAGTGGCATATAATGAAACTGGAAGTGAATAAAATGGAATGGAACACCACAAAAAGTGTTCAAAATAGGAAATAAAAGAGTGAAAAATGGGTATAAAAGGAAGTAAAAGGAAAAAAAAATAAATTACGGAACATATCGCAATGTAGGTGTATAAAATGAACTATGCACCAAAACAGGAGTGGAACAGAAACGAAAGATAAATAAATTAGAACGGAATGAAGTATAATTGAGAGGAACAAAATGAAACGGAATGTTACAGAATAGAAAGGAATACAATTAAACTCAAGAAAATAAAGTATCTGATTTAAGCTACACTTAGTACTCGCATGAGGTATATAAGTACAGTGAAAGCTCACATAGACGGACGCTCTAATAAGCGGACATCTCCAATTAACGAACAACGTCTTGGGAACGAACATCTTTTGGCTTTTATCCATACAAAATGCTCTCCCATACACGGACTTTCCGTTAAACGGACGCGGACACTCAGAAAAGTCCAGTTATGAAGAAGACAATCTCCCATAAGCGGACGCGAAGCTCTAACAGGCGGTCAATTTTTTATTA